TTATACTGTATGCAATAGGTCTACTATATTTGGTGTATGGAATGATTGTAAGGTGTACATGTCGAGCTGGCAGGTGTCATCTGACCTTGACCTCATTTTCAAGGTTCATTGCTCAGTGTTAAGTTTTTGTGTTTTGGTCTGTTTTTCTTAAACTATAAGCAATAGGTCAACTCTATTTGTTGTATGGAAGAATTGTTAGCTGTACATGCCTGCCTAGCATGGTTCATCTGACCTTGACCTCATTTTCATGGTTCATTGGTCAATGTTTAGTTTACTTGGTTAATGTTAAGTTTATGTGACAGTTGTAATAAAGCTTTATATTTAGGACTATCAACATAATATCAATGGATAATAAAGAAGGCGAGACATTTCAGCGTGTGCACTCTTGTTAGCATTGTTTGCTGATTCTTTAAAAAACATGTACACCTCTTTGTGAATAATAAATTTCTTTTTTTGGATTCTTCAGTCTTTTATTTTTTTCAAATTTTATCTTTTTGAGTATCCACTTTGGTAGTTTTCCGAGCTTTACACCACTGAATGTAGTCTTTTGTGTATACATGTTTATTATTTGTATATATACAGGCCAATTGAAAGAAGTGTTAGTAAGGACATTCCAGAACCAGAGAATAATCTGAGATTCCAGAAAGCACCAAGTCAGAACTTAGACGACACCATAGCCATGTTAAATGAACAGAACAAAGGTGGAAAGTTGTCGTCCCGGTCAGCTGATGAAACAGATTTAGATATAACACAGAGAGATGAAAGTCTAGAAAGAAGACCGGTAGGTTATTATATGGCAGAAGTTGAACATTGAATAGTAAAAAAACATGAATTGTGGATTCAGATGAGTGAATTATAATTTATAACTTGACCACTTTTTGTTTAATCAAGAACACATTTTATGCAAATGAGACACCAAAGAAAATTCGGTCTTTAATGAACATACATTGTATATGGCAGTTACGGAACAATTTTTGTTTTCTTTTTTTTTGGCCCATAAAAAAAAGTAATGAAAATTAAATCAATGCAATTGAATGTATTCTAGGCTAAGTTTAAATAACTGTTTACAACTTTGTTTGGTCCATTTTCTACACATTATTAAAGAATATTCACATTTGTTTTATTTTGTTTTTTTTTGCAGAAGACCCCCACCCCTCCACATGCTGCAGGTATTGTCCTGACTCGACCTGAGTATTACACACTCCCTAGCATGGAGGAGTTAGCAGAGATGGTGAATGAGAATGGTGATTGTTTTGTTGATGGTTTCACCATTGGTAGAGAAGGATATGGTAGTGTGTACTTCCCTGGAGTCGTCAATGTAGCTGGACTTAATCTAGATGAGATTGGTAAGCTTATTTTACTGTACTTCAACTTTGCCTTCCACAATTTATTTGATTTGAGAGCTACTGATGAGTCTTATGTAGACAAAACACTTGTCTGGCTTCCCTAATTATAAGCCTGGTATCTTTGATGAGTTCTTATTGATGTATTGTGAACTTGGAATGAAATGAGACATACAGACTCTGCAAAAAAAACAAAATATAACAGAAACACTTCAAACTGTTAGACAAAGGAAGAAAAACCATTTTTGTCGAGCCTGCGACTTTTGTCGCAGAAAGCTCGACATAGGGATAGCGATCCGGCGGCGGCGGTGTTAGCTAACTTCTTAAAAGCTTTATATTTTAGAAGGTGGAAGGTCTGGATGCTTCATACTTTGTATATGGATGCCTCATGTTACGAAGTTTCCGTCAGTCACATGTCCAATGTCCTTGACCTCATTTTCATGGTTCAGTGACTACTTGAAAAAAAAGTTCAGATTTTTTGTAATGTTAGATTCTCTCTTATTATAAGTAATAGGATAACTATATTTTGTATGTGCGTACCTTGCAAGGTCCTCATGCCCGTCAGACAGTTTTCACTTGACCTCGACCTCATTTCATGGATCAGTGAACAAGGTTAAGTTTTGGTGGTCAAGTCCATATCTCAGATACTATAAGCAATAGGTCTTGTATATTTGGTGTATGGAAGGACTGTAAGGTGTACATGTCCAACTGGCAGGTGTCATCTGACCTTGACCTCATTTTCATGGTTCAGTGGTTATAGTTAAGTTTTTATACGACTGCAAAAATTGAAAATTTTTTGGTCGTATATTGGTATGACGTTGGCGGCGTCGTCGTCGTCGTCTGGCGTCGTCCGGCGTCGTCCGAAGACACATTGGTTTTCGCACTCTAACTTTAGTTTAAGTGAATGGATCTCCATGAAATTTTACCATAAGGTTCAATACCACGAAAGGAAGGTGGGGATTGATTTTGGGGGTTATGGTACCAACAGTTAAGGAATTAGGGGCCAAAAAGGGGCCAAAAATAAGCATTTTTGTAACTTCCAGACAATAACTTGTGTGTAAGTGTATGGATCTCTCTGACATTGTACCACAAGGTTCCATATCACAAAGGGAAGGCTGTAATTGATTTTGGGGGTAATTGCCTCAAAATTTTAGGAATTAGGGGCCAAAAAAGGGGCAAAAAACAAGCATTTTTCTAGTTTCATGACAATAACTTGTGTGTAAGTGTTTGGATATTTCTGAAATTGTACTACAAGGTTCCATATCACAAAGGGAAAGCTGGAATTGAGTTTGGGGGTAATTGCCCGAAACTTTTAGGAATTGGGGGCCAAAAAGGGGCAAAAAATAAGCATTTTTCTAGTTTCCAGACAATAACTTGTGTTCAAGTGTATGGATCTCTCTGAAATTGTACTTCAAGGTACCATACCACAAAGGGAAGGCTGGGATTGAGTTTGGGGGTGATGAATCATAAGGGGGTTCAAAAAATTTGGGGGGGGGATTTTTTTTTTCTTTTTTTTTCTTTTTTTCCTTTTTTTTTTCTTTTAAAATTTTCCATTTTAAGTTGGTTATTTCTGATTAATATTTAAAAGCAAATAATAATGATATGGTAGGAGATACACACCAAACAGGATGTGTAAATTATTATATAATAAGTATTGTGCAATAGCAAGAAATTTTCAATTGCACAGTATTGCACAATTGCAAGAAATCGTCAATTGCACAGTATTGCGCAATAGCAAGAAATCTTCAATTGCACAGTATTGCGCAATAGCAAGAAATATCCAATAGCACAATATTGCGCAATAGCAAGAAATTGTCAATTGTACAGTATTGCACAATAGCAAGAAATATTCAATTGCACAGTATTGTGCAAAAGAAGATACTTCGTATAAATTGCTTATTTCTTGATCAATTTCAATGGGGTTTTATTCTTGAATTCTTGGGGTTCTTTAATATGCTGAATCTAACCGTGTATTAAGTTTTTGGATTTTGGGCCCCGTTTTTAAATTGGTCCACATTGAGGTCCAAAGGGTCCAAAATTTAACTTTGTTTGATTTCATCAAAAATTGAATTATTGGTGTTCTTTGATATGCCGAATCTAACTGTGTATTTAGATTCTTAATTTTTGGTTTCGTTTTCAAATTGGTCTACATTAAGGTCAAAAGGGTCCAAAATTAAACTTAGTTTGATTTTAACAAAAATTGAATTTTTAGGGTACTTTGATATGCTGAATCTAAACATGTATTTAGATTTTTGATTATGGGCCCAGTTTTCAAGTTGGTCCAAATCGGGGTCCAAAATTAAACTTTGTTTGATTTCAACAAAAATTGAATATATGGGGTTCTTTGATATGCTGAATCTAACCATGTATTTAGATTTTTGATTTTTGGGCCCAGTTATCAACTTTGTCCACATTGAGGTCAAAAGGGTCCAAAATTAAACTTTGTTTGATTTCATCAAAAATTGAATTCTTGGGGTTCTTTGATATGCCGAATCTAACCATGTATTTAGATTTTTTATTTGTGGACCCGCTATCAAATTGGTTCATATTGAGGTCAAAAGGGTCCAAAATTAAACTTTGTTTGATTTCATCAAAAATTGAATTATTGGGGTTCTTTGATATGCCAAATCTAACCGTGTATTTAGATTTTTAATTTTGGGTCCCGTTTTTAAATTGGTCTACATTAAGGTCCAAAGGGTCCAAAATTAAACTTAGTTTGATTTTAACAAAAATTGAATTCTTGGGGTTCTTTGATATGCTGAATCTAAACATGTGTTTAGATTTTTGATTATGGGCCCAGTTTTCAAGTTGGTCCAAGTTGGGGTCCAAAATTAAACTTTGTTTGATTTCAACAAAAATTGAATATATGGGGTTCTTTGATATGCTGAATCTAAACATGTATTTAGATTTTAGATTTTTGGCCCAGTTTTCAAGTTGGTCCAAATTGGGGTCCAAAATTAAATTTTGTTTGATTTCAACAAAAATTGAATATATGGGGTTCTTTGATATGCTGAATCTTGCCATGTATTTAGATTTTTTATTTGTGGGCCCGCTATCAAATTGGTTCATATTGAGGTCAAAAGGGTCCAAAATTAAACTTTGTTTGATTTCATCAAAAATTTAATTATTGGGGTTCTTTGATATGCCAAATCTAACCGTGTATTTAGATTTTTAATATTGGGTCCCGTTTTTTAAATTGGTCTACATTAAGGTCCAAAGGGTCCAAAATTAAACTTAGTTTGATTTTAACAAAAATTGAATTCTTGGGGTACTTTGATATGCTGAATCTAAACATGTGTTTAGATTTTTGATTATGGGACCAGTTTTCAAGTTTGTCCAAGTTTAATATGCTGAATCTAACCATGTATTTTGATTTTGGACATTGAACCATAATAGGTAAATTAAAAAAATTGAAGTTCTTAGACCACATTCTTTCTGTGTCAGAAACCTATGCTGTGTCAAATATTTAATCACAATCCAAATTCAGAGCTGTATCAAGCTTGAATGTTGTGTCCATACTTGCCCCAACTGTTCAGGGTTCGACCTCTGCGGTCGTATCAAGCTGCGCCCAGCGAAGCATTTTATTGTGTTTTGGTCTGTTTTTCTTATACTGTATGCCATAGGTCTACTTTATTTGGTGTATAGAATGATTGTAAGGTGTACATGTCTAGCGGGCAGGTGTCATCTGACCTTGACCTCATTTTCATGGTTCAGTGGTCAAAGTTAATTTTTTGAGTTTTGGTCTTTTTTTCTAATACTATATGCAATAGTTCAACTATATTTGGTATGTGCGTACCTTGCAAGGTCCTCATGCCCGTCAGACAGTTTTCACTTGACCTCGACCTCATTTTATGGATCAGTGAACAAGGTTAAGTTTTGGTGGTCAAGTCCATATCTCAGATACTATAAGCAATAGGTCTTGTATATTCGGTGTATGGAAGGACTGTAAGGTGTACATGTCCAACTGGCAGGTGTCATCTGACCTTGACCTCATTTTCATGGTTCAGTGGTTATAGTTAAGTTTTTATACGACCGCAAAAATTAAAAATTTTTTGGTCGTATATTGGTATGACGTTGGCGTCGTCGTCGGCGTCGTCCGAAGACACATTGGTTTTCGCACTCTAACTTTAGTTTAAGTGAATGGATCTCCATGAAATTTTACCATAAGGTTCAATACCACGAAAGGAAGGTTGGGATTGATTTTGGGGGTTATGGTACCAACAGTTAAGGAATTAGGGGCCAAAAAGGGGCCAAAAATAAGCATTTTTGTAACTTCCAGACAATAACTTGTGTGTAAGTGTATGGATCTCTCTGACATTGTACCACAAGGTTCCATATCACAAAGGAAAGGCTGTAATTGATTTTGGGGGTAATTGCCTCAAAATTTTAGGAATTAGGGGCCAAAAAAGGGGCAAAAAACAAGCATTTTTCTAGTTTCATGACAATAACTTGTGTGTAAGTGTTTGGATATTTCTGAAATTGTACTACAAGGTTCCATATCACAAAGGGAAAGCTGGAATTGAGTTTGGGGGTAATTGCCCGAAATGTTCAGGAATTGGGGGCCAAAAAGGGGCCAAAAATAAGCATTTTTCTAGTTTCCAGACAATAACTTGTGTTCAAGTGTATGGATCTCTCTGAAATTGTACTGCAAGGTACCATACCACAAAGGGAAGGCTGGGATTGAGTTTGGGGGTGATGAATCATAAGGGGGTTCAAAAAATTTGGGGGGGGATTTTTTTTTCTTTCTTTTTTTTTCTTTTTTTCCTTTTTTTTTTCTTTTAAAATTTTCCATTTTAAGTTGGTTATTTCTGATTAATATTTAAAAGCAAATAATAATGATATGGTAGGAGATACACACCAAACAGGATGTGTAAATTATTATCTAATAAGTATTGTGCAATAGCAAGAAATTTTCAATTGCACAGTATTGCACAATAGCTAGAAATCTTCAATTGCACAGTATTGCGCAATAGCAAGAAATCTTCAATTGCACAGTATTGCGCAATAGCAAGAAATATCCAATAGCACAATATTGCGCAATAGCAAGAAATTGTCAATTGTACAGTATTGTGCAATAGCAAGAAATATTCAATTGCACAGTATTGTGCAAAAGAAGATACTTCGTATAAATTGCTTATTTCTTGATCAATTTCAATGGGGTTTTATTCTTGAATTCTTGGGGTTCTTTAATATGCTGAATCTAACCGTGTATTAAGTTTTTGGATTTTGGGCCCCGTTTTTAAATTGGTCCACATTGAGGTCCAAAGGGTCCAAAATTTAACTTTGTTTGATTTCATCAAAAATTGAATTATTGGGGTTCTTTGATATGCTGAATCTAACTGTGTATTTAGATTCTTAATTTTTGGTTCCGTTTTCAAATTGGTCTACATTAAGGTCCAAAGGGTCCAAAATTAAACTTAGTTTGATTTTAACAAAAATTGAATTTTTAGGGTTCTTTGATATGCTGAATCTAAACATGTATTTAGATTTTTGATTATGGGCCCAGTTTTCAAGTTGGTCCAAATCGGGGTCCAAAATTAAACTTTGTTTGATTTCAACAAAAATTGAATATATGGGGTTCTTTGATATGCTGAATCTAACCATATATTTAGATTTTTGATTTTTGGGCCCCGTTATCAACTTTGTCCACATTGAGGTCAAAAGGGTCCAAAATTTAACTTTGTTTGATTTCATCAAAAATTGAATTATTGGGGTTCTTTGATATGCCGAATCTAACCGTGTATTTAGATTCTTAATTTTTGGTTCCGTTTTCAAATTGGTCTACATTAAGGTCCAAAGGGTCCAAAATTAAACTTAGTTTGATTTTAACAAAAATTGAATTTTTAGGGTTCTTTGATATGCTGAATCTAAACATGTATTTAGATTTTTGATTATGGGCCCAGTTTTCAAGTTGGTCCAAATCGGGGTCCAAAATTAAACTTTGTTTGATTTCATCAAAAATTGAATTCTTGGGGTTCTTTGATATGCTGAATCTAACCATGTATTTAGATTTTGGATATTGGACCATAATAGGTGAATGTCCAATTTAAAATTTTTAAGTTCTTAGGCCACATTCATTCTGTGTCAGAAACCTATGCTGTGTCAAATATTTAATCACAATCCAAATTCAGAGCTGTATCAAGCTTGAATGTTGTGTCCATACTTGCCCCAACTGGTCAGGGTTCGACCTCTGCGGTCGTATCAAGCTGCGCCCTGCGGAGCATTTTATTGTGTTTTGGTCTGTTTTTCTTATACTGTATGCCATAGGTCTACTTTATTTGGTGTATGGAATGATTGTAAGGTGTACATGTCTAGCGGGCAGGTGTCATCTGACCTTGACCTCATTTTCATGGTTCAGTGGTCAAAGTTAAGTTTTTGAGTTTTGGTCTTTTTTTCTAATACTATATGCAATAGTTCAACTATATTTGGTATGTGCGTACCTTGCAAGGTCCTCATGCCCGTCAGACAGTTTTCACTTGACCTCGACCTCATTTCATGGATCAGTGAACAAGGTTAAGTTTTGGTGGTCAAGTCCATATCTCAGATACTATAAGCAATAGGTCTTGTATATTCGGTGTATGGAAGGACTGTAAGGTGTACATGTCCAACTGGCAGGTGTCATCTGACCTTGACCTCATTTTCATGGTTCAGTGGTTATAGTTAAGTTTTTGTGTTTTGGTCTGTTTTTCTTATACTGTATGCCATAGGTCTACTTTATTTGGTGTATGGATGATTGTAAGGTGTACATGTCTAGCGGGCAGGTGTCATCTGACCATGACCTCATTTTCATGGTTCAGTGGTCAAAGTTAAGTTTTTTGAGTTTTGGTCTTTTTTTCTAATACTGTATGCAATAGTTCAACTATATTTGGTGTATGGAAATATTTTATGATCTTTTTGGCAGTCAAGCAGGTTTTATTTGACCTTGACCTCATTTTCAAGGTTCATTGCTCAGTGTTAAGTTTTTGTGTTTTGGTCTGTTTTTCTTAAACTATAAGCAATAGGTCAACTATATTTGTTGTATGGAAGAATTGTTAGCTGTACATGCCTGCCTAGCATGGTTCATCTGACCTTGACCTCATTTTCATGGTTCATTGGTCAATGTTTAGTTTACTTGGTTAATGTTAAGTTTATGTGACAGTTGTAATAAAGCTTTATATTTAGGACTATCAACATAATATCAATGATTAGTAAAGAAGGCGAGACATTTCAGCGTGTGCACTTTTGTAAGGTGTATATATATATATAGCAAAACTGTTTTGAAGAAAAAAGGTAGAAAAATATCAAAAGGAAAAACATCCGTCTGCTAACACACATTCTTTTAAAAAACATCCGTCTGCTAACACACATTCTTTTAAAAAACATCCGTCTGCTAACACACATTCTTTTAAATAGTCAATTGTTAGGAAAACTTACATTTACTGCATAGCAAAAGGGAAAGACAGAACATTGTTTCAACTGATATAGAAATATATTCACAGTTTCATTCTATACATGAATTATTTATTTATGCCCTGTTCTTTCAGTACATATCAGAAGGAAAGAGGTGATAGTTTATCCTGATGATGACAACAAACCTGATCAAGGAGATGGTCTGAACAGGAAAGCAGAGATAACATTGGACTGTGTCTGGCCTGTAGACAAGACTACAAGAAAACCCATTCAGGTAAACAACTCAACAGACGAATTTAACTGGTTGACATTTGTCATCTCAGTTTCTATAATTTGACACTGTCAATACTGAGGTTTTGAGTTCGAATCCCACCGTGGCAGGTGCGCTAGACTTCAGGAATCTGTTATGAACGTATACGACTGCGTTCAGATAATAATAGGACATTCCAGATCATTGAGGATAGTAATCTGACTTTTTCACTTTTCGTGCCTTAGCGCTGTCTGATCTCAAGCAGGAGCCATAATCGGTACTCTTGTGTGAACGCCGCATTAAACACCAATTGATAAATGTGTAATTTGAGATGATCAATTTTTCAATGAACAGATTAGTTAACTACTGTTAAAAATCATATGTTCTGTTATTTATACAGCACAATCATTTACCCTAAAATATTAAACTGGCAGAAACAGAAAAAAAAAATTTTGCCCGAATCTGGTACAATATTAATTGATATTCCTTTAAACAGGATCCAGAAAGGTTGAAAGCAATGAATTACCATGAGAAAATAGAAGGGATCACAGCTAGGATAGGTGGCAGGTTTACAGACTATAGACCAGAAACTGGATCATGGGTATTCGAGGTGAGATTTATTTAAGTTTTCAACAAATTGATTTATATACAGAAATATCAGAACCGTAAGAAATCGTATGGCTACTCCATTTCTAAATGGAAGTTGGAGGAATGAAATTGATTTAAGATTTCAACAAATTGATTTTTCAACAGAAATATCAGAACCATTAGCAATTTTTATACGACCGCAAAAATTAAAAATTTTTTGGTCGTATATTGGTATGACGTTGGCGTCGTCGTCGTCGTCTGGCGTCGTCCGAAGACACATTGGTTTTCGCACTCTAACTTTAGTTTAAGTGAATGGATCTCCATGAAATTTTACCATAAGGTTCAATACCATGAAAGGAAGGTTGGGATTGATTTTGGGGGTTATGGTACCAACAGTAAAGGAATTAGGGGCCAAAAAGGGGCCAAAAATAAGCATTTTTGTAACTTCCAGACAATAACTTGTGTGTAAGTGTATGGATCTCTCTGACATTGTACCACAAGGTTCCATATCACAAAGGGAAGGCTGTAATTTTTTTTGGGGGTAATTGCCTCAAAATTGTAGGAATTAGGGGCAAAAAAAGGGGCAAAAAACAAGCATTTTTCTAGTTTCATGACAATAACTTGTGTGTAAGTGTTTGGATATTTCTGAAATTGTACTGCAAGGTTCCATATCACAAAGGGAAAGCTGGAATTGAGTTTGGGGGTAATTGCCTGAAACGTTTAGGAATTTGGGGCCAAAAAGGGGCCAAAAATAAGCATTTTTCTAGTTCCCAGACAATAACTTGTGTTCAAGTGTATGGATCTCTCTGAAATTGTACTGCAAGGTACCATACCACAAAGGGAAGGCTGGGATTGAGTTTGGGGGTGATGAATCATAAGGGGGTTCAAAGAATTGGGGGGGGGGGATTTTTTTTTTTTTTTTTTTTTTTTTTTTTTTTTTTTTTTTCCTTTTTTTTTCTTTTAAAATTTTCCATTTTAAGTTGGTTATTTCTGATTTATATTTAAAAGCAAATTATAATGATATGGTAGGAGATACACACCAAACAGAATGTGTAAATTATTATATAATAAGTATTGTGCAATAGCAAGAAATTTTCAATTGCACAGTATTGCACAATAGCAAGAAATCTTCAATTGCACAGTATTGCGCAATAGCAAGAAATCTTCAATTGCACAGTATTGCGCAATAGCAAGAAATATTCAATAGCACAATATTGCGCAATAGCAAGAAATTGTCAATTGTACAGTATTGCGCAAAAGCAAGAAATATTCAATTGCACAGTATTGTGCAAAAGAAGATACTTTGTATAAATTGCTTATTTCTTGATCAATTTCAATGGGGTTTTATTCTTGAATTCTTGGGGTCTTTAATATGCTGAATCTAACCGTGTATTAAGTTTTTGGATTTTGGGCCCCGTTTTTAAATTGGTCCACATTGAGGTCCAAAGGGTCCAAAATTTAACTTTGTTTGATTTCATCAAAAATTGAATTATTGGGGTTCTTTGATATGCCGAATCTAACAGTGTATTTAGATTCTTAATTTTTGGTTCCGTTTTCAAATTGGTCTACATTAAGGTCCAAAGGGTCCAAAATTAAACTTAGTTTGATTTTAACAAAAATTGAATTTTTAGGGTTCTTTGATATGCTGAATCTAAACATGTATTTAGATTTTTGATTATGGGCCCAGTTTTCAAGTTGGTCCAAATTGGGGTCCAAAATTAAACTTTGTTTGATTTCAACAAAAATTGAATATATGGGGTTCTTTGATATGCTGAATCTAACCATGTATTTATATTTTTGATTTTTGGGCCCCGTTATCAACTTTGTCCACATTGAGGTCAAAAGGGTCCAAAATTAAACTTTGTTTGATTTCATCAAAAATTGAATTCTTTGGGTTCTTTGATATGCTGAATCTAACCATGTATTTAGATTTTGGATATTGGACCATAATAGGTGAATGTCCAATTTAAAATTTTTAAGTTCTTAGACCACATTCATTCTGTGTCAGAAACCTATGCTGTGTCAAATATTTAATCACAATCCAAATTCAGAGCTGTATCACGCTTGAATGTTGTGTGCATACTTGCCCCAACTGTTCAGGGTTCGACCTCTGCGGTCGTATCAAGCTGCGCCCTGCGGAGCATTTTATTACAGATGATCTCACAAAAATGTTATTTGCAAAATATCTTTTCATTCGTATCATGTTGAATGCTTAACCTAACTATTAAGAACTTTATGCACCTGCCTTTAATTTAGTTTTTTTCATCAATTAACATATCAATTTCTATTTTTCAGGTTAAACATTTTACCAAATATGGAATGGATGAAAGTGACGAGGATGACCTTTCTGAACTGGCCCAACACCAAGCTAAGATGCAGGTCAGTAGATGACAACCAGTGTTATACCAATCCATAAACACTTTGTGAGAATCATTCTGTATCATGAATGATCTCTCTTAGTTGATGGTAAAAAAAAATGTACTTTTAAGTTGTATTAATTGAGATAAAATATTCAACTTTCAGGACTTAAGAAATTCTTGTTTGGTGAAAATTTTTATTTCTTTCTTTATTTGTTGTCATTGATGTGTCATTCTCTGTCGTGATTAATTTGAGATCGTTATAAATCAAACGATGGAATAAAAAAATAATTAGAATTCTTCACTGGAATTTAATCATTCTATCTTCATATGGACAGACAAGAGTTATCCTGTGGTGGAGTATCTAGTATTAGTGTTCCAGGAAGCATGTATGTGATTAGTCTATTACCAAGATCCAATGATTTTTTTGTGGATGATAATCAACATTAGAATGGGCCTCACTATGAAGGTAGTACTGAAGACCAGAATTAACCATGCAAATACATAAATAAGGAAGGACATACTGTGATTACAATCTTACTTTGAATTCTTATATATTTGTAAGAATTACTATATTGAAAACCTTCATTATATGAAAGAAAATACAGATGGCAATATAGATGAATATCTTATGAATATAACTGACAACAGAAGTTTTTGAGAAAGTTTTTTTTTCTATACCACTTATTGCTTTCCTAGGGTATTGGAAAATTTATGTTTAAGTTCTCAATTCATTTATTTGCAGGAATCTTTTGTAAGAATGAAACCATTATTTGCTTAAATTTATCTTCAAAGTTGTTATATTATATTGTTTTTGTAATACATTGTCAGTATGTTTTGGGAAAATGTCTGATTTATTGGTATAGATATATATTGACTATATGAGAAAGTTATAATGACATGGTATTCCTCCAAATTTCCGTTTAATGTTAATTTTATATTTTATCTTCTTTTTTTAAGTGATTATATTTATATCATGAATTATTTATTTTTATTGAGTGTAAATATATATGTAATTATTCCTCGAGGTAATTCCTCTAGGTTTTGTTAATATTATACCTATGTAATTGTGTTAACATATTATGCTGTCATGTTTCCTATCAAATAACAGTATAAGAGGAATTTTAATATCATATGCATGTGAAATTTATTGATAAATTTTTAGTGGTTTTTTTTTAAATCCCAATAGAATTCATGTGGTATTAAAATTATTTAGAAAAATGATAATCAAGTTTTATAAATATATGAATCTATTTATGGAATAACTACTTTATATGTTAAATCCCCAATAACATGTCAAATGAACCTTGCAACAATTTTTTGAGGGGTCTTTGCAAAGCTACATTTCCCACCATATCCGACATACTTTCATGTCCAGTGGCAGGCTAAATGTCCTGCCCTTTATTCATGGTGGTCAACCTTACACAGAACCTATTTTATTCAATTTAATGCAGTACTAATTTTCTTCTTTTGATGCAATACTTGTGAAATGTTAAGAATCAAACATATATTATGTACAATTATTATATTATATATGCAATATCTCAGAAACGCTAATTGTGATTGCACACTGTTGTTTCCAAGGACTCAGACTATCAATCATGTAATTGATGGCAGACTTTATCCAATCA